ATAGATAATCGCACGAGTTATCTCATACCAAAGTTTTTTCTTGCTTGTAATCTGCACACGTGATGGTATTAAAAACTAGGAATTTTGTTCATTATTTAACATGTATGAGTGAACGATATACCAGTGAATAGCATGCATGTATATCCATGAGCTGTTGATACATTCGCTATGGGACATAAACGCATCGTTTTGAGGGAAATGAAAGCTGTTTTTCGAACATTTCGTGTGCAAGCAGCATACCAAATAGTGAAAAATGACACATTTTCTTTGTAATAATAAAAATACAGATGCTATAAAATTAGAATTTAAATTTCTGACTAGAAGAACTGCAAAATATTTGGTGAATATACATCTATCAAATGCCGTATTTTTAATAATCAGCGAAGCGAAAATTTTAATACAGAAAACAAGATTGCCATTATTTCTTTTTCAGATTCTATAATTCTGCTGTTATTCTTCTTCGTCGAAAAATGAAGAGATTCATAGATCATACACTGGTTATAGTAACCTGATTAACCTTTCACTGTTTACCTTTTAATTCAATGCATGGTGTAAATTTACGTCTGCAATTTACATCTGACAGTTTACTGTTGAAGAAGCCGTTTATTTAGGTGTTCATATCTGTAAAATTGAAAATCAGGCTTTCTTTGTTTAACTCTTGAATGCAACACTTCGAAATCCAAGGATGACTGTCATAAGCGTTTACTATTACCAAGACTTAGTATATTTTCGAAGTTCGAAATCAATAAGTACTTGTCAGAAAAGCTTGACTAGCAAGGTAATAAATTCATATCTCTGTTGTTTGCTAAACTACTGTGCATCAGGGTAATAATGAAGAACTACACAAGTGGTAATATATGTATAAAACTTGGGCACTGTGGTAGTAAGTAATTCCATATTAGTTTGTTTATTAAATGTATCACACAGTGAAACAGTATTGTATACTGGATGACGTTTCGAACACAATTTATTGTTCATAATCATATCAATTTTTGTCACACGACTTCGAGATTTGATTTTTAAAGTTTTTTCTGTCTTCTCCTATTTGTTGTATGGACAGTAGAATTTTCCATATATCTGGGACAGTTGTTGAATCATTCCTACTGCATGTATTTTCAGTTGATTCGATAAACTAGCTAAATCCAGACTGGTTGACCCGAATAAGATAAGAAATCTAGAGAGTATTCAAGTGTTGGTTTGTAGGGATTTGATTGGTTTCAAGATTTCATCATGAGCCGACAATAGTTAGAGAACTCTAACTCTCTAACTAATGTCAGCTCATGATGAAATCCTGAAATCTAGAGAGTAGTTCAGCTATAGCACTACATGCAGTCACACACAACCATACAATAGGATGGGATAGGATGACAGTTTTAAAATTTAATGTCACAGGATATAGGGAGATATTGATAACAGAAGCTTTATTTATCGAATCAACTGCAAATACATGTAATAGGAATGATTCGACACCTGTCCCAGATATATGGAAAATTCTACTGCCCATACAACAAATAGGAGAAGACAGAGAAAACTATAAAAACAAATCTCGAAGTTGTGTGACAAAAACTGATATGATTATGAACAATAAATTGTGTTCGAAACGTCATCCAGTATACAATACTGTTTCACTGTGTGATACATTTAATAAACAAACTAATATGGAATTACAGAAGTGGTACTTTTATACTGAATCATATTTGTTTGGTAGCTGAGTTCTGAACTACAGTCAGTAATACTATGGGGAAAAGAAGCAACAATAAAGTTTTATTCAGACTTAGAAATAAGATGATACCGATTGAATGTTCGACTGTACATTTACTATGCTAGTTAATCTCATAATCAATCGTTGCTGATCTCAAAACCCTTAACCACGAATTTCAGTCAGGGCATATGTTATAGTATACAAAAGCTTTTCAAAGGCTCCAGCGTCACCTAATAAAAAACTTGAATAACGTAAGAGTTACTAACACGCAGACGATATTTCGTATTCATAACTAGAAGTGTGAAACAATAATGATCTACGAAATTATTCGATACTTTAAATATTCACTTCGTTGATTATAAGCAATATTTTAAACTCCATCTATCCTGGTTAGTGATAGTATTTGCCATACTGTCAAATCTCGGTTAAACTGTTCTTGTATAAAAGAGTTCATCTAGTACTACTAACTGAATTGTGTTGTATTAAATTATATCAATGCATATGATCAGTACAGAGAATATTATTATTATTATTATATCCTTTAATTCCTGAAGGAACATAGGGCTTCAGCTGCACATCCCCATTGCCTTCCGTTTTCTGCCAACTTTTTCACCCGGCTCCAAGTCTGCCCACATGATTTCATCTCCTCTTCACATCAACTCCTCCAAGTCACCCCTGCACTGACGACCAACTCACCGCTTCCTTTTCGGGTTCCACTCGATGGTTTCCTCAGAGTATGGCCAGCCAATCCATCTCCATTTCTTCCTGCCTATTTGTTTCACAATCGGTTCCTGCCGGGTTGGTTTGCTCATTGTCAGAGATCCCTGTGTCTGATCTTTTCTTGCCATCTGAGTACAGAAAATGATAGATGCTTTTGTCAAAAACTGAGAAGGAATGAATAACCCATGAAATGAGAAACTGACACGAAGGTTAGCTGGAGGTTGTAGGCGAGCCTAATGTGACAGTTGGACACTTTTTTTGGAATGTTGTAATAGTTAATTTTTACTAGTGTTCAACTTAGTAATATAGTCTCTGATGAAGGTGTGAACTCTGAAGAGAAAGTAAGTTATTTTAAAATCATGAAAATGCATTACCACTTGGTTTCAGAGAACATAAAGCTTAGGTTCAAGTCTTCATGTCGATTAACCTTTCCATACATCTAACACCAGAAATTGTCCGCTGGTGTCATACGTTTTTCTAATATAACACTTGGTGATGCAGTATTGATAAGTCGATTAAACAGAACGCAATACATTGCTGACAATAATATCAATGTATGCATTTAAATTCTTCACTTTTTGTACGTGGTTTCTCACTATCTCCTTTATAATAATGCACTTTCTCACATATGCGAAACTGCCTTTACGTCCTTGCTGTTGTACGTAATATTCCTTCTTGTAACTTCTTTATCTACAGACGATAGTTCTACTATAAATAAAAATGAGTGGGAAGTTGTAGGTGTATAGAAATCCCATTAGTATAATTCGTAAAATTCAGAACATGGCTTTACTTGAGAGTAGAAATGGTACATAAAACTGAGTTGAAATGAGAGAAGCATATCCTCCTACTTCCTATTGGCATATTGTGTAGATGAAACGTTTTATTAGGAAAATTTAGGTGTGACAAAATTAATATCATCAGCCTTTTAAACGGTTTAGCAGTCGTTGCTTTGGCACTTATTTGAGATTTGAGCTCATTTTAAAAAGGACTAACCGCAGTCATTATCACTTTATAGCTGCAATCAAACTGTTTCCAAGATCACAAGAACACTTACTTAGATTATATCTATATATACCACTGGTGATCATTCTGTTTGACATGCAATTCGAAGAGATTGACTGAGAGAAAGCTATTGCAGAAATAGCCAGCAACATTTGAGGGTATTACAATAGTATTTTGTAATGGAATAAAAGCCACAATAATGCCACTAAATAAGCTTCTTCTTGTTCTTTTTCAGAAAGAAACGCTGACGTGGCCTTACTGGAACAGGAGGAAAATCCTTTGTCCAGACTTGTTATAAATGATGATAATTAGCTCTGTACCCGGTTAATTCAAGCCTGGCTTGGTTCAAGTAAACGTCTCTTCCTCGCCCTCTTTGTCTTTTTCCTCCGTTGGTTGTGGCTGTGATCCGTGTGTGTTACAATCTGTCTATGGCTTTTGTGCGTCAGTGGTAGAGTGGTTAGGAGTCTTGCCGACCATGCACATGGCCCGAGGTTCGATCCCCTGCCGACGTACACCTGATATCTATGGTCGGCCTGCGAAATTTGGGCTACCGATATCCATGCTGAAAATTCTATACTTGTACCAAAAATACAGTGTGGAATCAAGCTGTAATCACAAATAAAAAATAAAATAAATAAAATTTTAATGTTGTGAAATAAGTAGACGTAATTTGTCCGGTGGTTTGTGATTTCAGCTTATTACAAACTCACGAATATTTTTGAGTGTTTTCAATTTTAATTTTCAACTTATTGATATTTTGTATTTTTTCACAGGATTTTGAAGAAAAAAAATGATAGCCACTTGAGCTTTTGCAACTTAGTAAAAAACATTTTACTCACAACGCAATAAAAAGGCGGTAAAATATCATCATTTTGATTAGTTTTATGCGCCTTAATATATAAGTTTTATTGTATTACATCCATTACCTTCTCAAATAATTTCTAGAATTAGTTTTCCTCTCTGCATAACACTTTTTTCCCCACTATACTCCAGTGAAAAGCTGTTTTTGAGGTGAAAAAAAACGATTATAACAAGAGGAAAAACCGAATTTGAACGTGTTACTAAAGAAACTAGCTGAATTATGTGAAAAGTGGATTCATTTTATGTGGCCAGCTAATTTACAACAAAAGCAAAAGTGCTTATAGGAGTATTTGAACATACAGACAGGTGACAAAGAGGCAAATATATATATATATATATATATATATATATGCAAAGGGATGTGGGTTACTGGATAAATAACAAGATAGGCAAGTAGTAGTGATGGTGAGAAAGAATAGTTAGGCTGCCCTAAATCCACTGAAAGTTAGAAGTGAATGCTTGAAACACAACTCATTTAATTTCCTATTACTACTGCTGCTGGGTCTGCAACTACTATACATGTCTAGCATTGTTCAACTTTATGAATAAATGAAGGATAATAAAAAAAAGGATTACAAGAATCTGGAGAGGGAGAGGGAAGACGCAGAGAATAATTCTACTCCGATTGTTCGTATTATTACGTATGCATACACACATAAATATATATAATTTCATACAAAATAGAGAACACTAACGTCTAACATTTTATTAGACAGGCATACATTTGTAGACAAGCAAATCACTGAAATATGTCTATTCATCATAAACACTTTCGTGAGGAACAATCAAATAGATAATACAACCCAGATAGTATCCCTTATTTTGAATACATGCTCGGTGAATAATGCTGAAATCAAAAGCTTCGAAGTGGCTATTGAATCTACATACTTCTTAACTTAAATTATTTCATTAATATAACCATTCATAGTCGAGTTATCACCATCATCATCATTCTCATTTTGTCATCAGACGTCACATGTTAAATTGCATTTGTTTCTTCTTTCCGTTTAAAATCTCTGAAATATGAACAAAAGTAAACGTTAAGGAATCGGAAAAAGAGAAGAATACGTAAAGTACAACAAAATTGTTTTGCTTCTGTGTTCTACAGTAGAAGACTATAAGAAATAATTCCCTGCTTCCACAGAATTCGAAACACTGACACACAAGATACTGCTCAAAACACACATTCCTTATATTTTTAAGTCATTATATCGAATTTTTAAAGTTTCCGATATTTATTACGAAAGAGTAGATTAACCAACAGGAACACTATTCATGTATTATTAAAAGGAAATATTCTAATACAAAGCACTTTGAAACTGTAAAGGTGAGTTGTAGTTTTTAATTGAATTATATTCGATATTGATACATCATGTCAATTCCGATGATGGTTACTAGGGTGGTTAATAACTCACTGCCTTATGTGGTAAAAAATAAGGAAATTTCTTCTCTTATTAGGAAGCTTGATTACTGAATACGAAAGGTTATATTTCAGATATACTTGATCCGCCATTTTATACATATTCTGCTTGTTGAAATTGGGTTCGTTAATGAAACTTGGATAATGCTGAATATCCTGGAATAATTCTTCATTGATATGAGGACCTACAGTAAATTTCTCATATTAATCTGGAGATCTTCCACTATGTAATCTTATTAACTTAAAGGCTGTTTTGAATCATCATATCGGTATCAGTATTCAGAAAAGGGACTTAAAACACGCGTGTCTGACATATTTTTCCGAGGAACTAAATATAGCTAGATTGCACAGGAGGAAGTAAACAAGCACAAATAACATGATACTACTAAATGTAAAATTATGAATAATTAATTCTTATGACATAGTAATGAGTTCTATAAATCATGTTACGCAAGTTAAGCAACATGAAACTAATGAGATGGAAAATGTACTGCATGCTTAAGAATGAATACTGCGATCTCGTGAATCTAAGTTTCACGTTTGTTTAGATATATCATTTAGCTATACCTGGAATGTTAGTATTACTGGTTAGCCTGACTAAACATGCATTTGAAAACTCACCAGTTCATATAACTGTAAACACTGTGCGATTTATCAAAATAAAATCTTATCTATAATGGAATTATACTCTACCACAGTGCCCAAGTTTTATACTTATATCAATAACTCACCTGTTTTGTTACTCTTGAAACCCTTTCACTTCCTATATTTTTCACTGCTGATATAATTCGTTGGAAAGTAGTTTTAGCTAAGGCTACTGTTTCGGTAGAGTAAAGATGTCACTGGCTACCAGGAAAATATGACGTCGGTGCATAATGTTACATAGTGGAAGGGCGTATTTATTTTCGAGAGATGTAGATATTACGTAATGGCTTGTACTATAAGACTTGTTAAAACCCCTCCAATGATGTACTATAGAATTCAATATATTAAATATTCCCATAGTAAAATTTAGAACAACACATTTAAGCGAACAATATTGTTTTCAATTAGATCTCATCAGGCTTAACTCTAATATATATAAGTTTACAAATAAAAATTCAAATATAAACCAATCATAGTGTTTTGTCTATAGGATAATACGATGGTGAATATAAATTGTGCAGTTAGTCATAATAGTGGTAATGATAATATTAATAATAGTAATAATAATGGCCTTATCAATAATAAGGATGAAAAAATGAGGCAATCTGTGATAACACGAATAATGAAAAACAGTATGATTAAACAAACAATTGTTCAGGTGGAAGTAGTCGATAAAGGCTAGTAAAAACAAATGAACCGATTACGTAATGTTAGATTATAGGGGAAGGAAATGAAACACGTTTATAATGAATATAAGATAAGATTAAGGAATGATAAGAAAGGGTTGAAAATATAAATAAGGGATGGTGTAGAAGTCTTTCGTTGGTTATGTCTTATTAGGCCACGGGAGGGATAATGGCTGCACGAACTTCTTTTGAATGCATAGTTTAGGTTTAATAGTTCGAATGCCTATCGCCTCAGCTGTGTGCAGTAGACGAATACGAAGTCTATTAGAAAGATTCGGTGGGATACGATGAATTACTTTGAAGGCTTTCGTTTTATCGACTACATGACCACTATCAATTAGATGTGACAGAATTGAGCTACGGATTGTTTTTGTCTGTCCTTTGCCAAACCACGATGGGAGATGTTCACTAACACGTTGGCTAAGCTGTCTAGTAGTACGCCCAATATAACTGTCACCGCAGGTGCAGTTGAATTGATAAATACACATAGATGTGGCAAAACTATCAAGCTTATCCTTCGTTTGCGTCCCAATCATTCGTCGGCTAGAGAATGACAAACATAGGTGTGCTGCGTAAAATGTTCTACGTATGCTCCTTGAAAGTCTTTGGAATAGAATCTCACTAGATAAGTCCCCATTAAATTGTAACTTAATAAATAGAGGTTTCTTATGTGCAGTCAGAGTCACAGGTTTCTTCTCTGATGGTTTCATATGTTCCTTTATGAAACTACTCGGATAACCCATCTCCGTCAAGGAATCGTGAATATATTCAAATTCCTTTTTAAGAGGTCCTCCGTACATATCTTCCTTGCTCTGCTCGCGAGACATTTTACAAGATTCCTTTTATATTTAATGGGCACGTAACTAAGGAAGTGTGTGTACTGCCCTGTGAATGTGCTTTTTCTGTACACCCTTCTCCGAAGTGACCCATCTTCTCTCCTACTTAGAATTCAACCGTGTTTAAAAAAATATCAAATTGTACATTTTATGTTACAAAATTGTAACCTAAATTTTACATTTGTTTAGTATACATGCGTTTCATTTTCGGCATCATAAAGCAGCGGAGATTTTTTTAATGAAAAGAACGGAAATGTACATAAATTTCATTAAAAATTTAAATGATGTATTAGTTTCTAGATCATTTCTCCCATCTTGAAGAACCAAAAGTAACACATTACATAATACTTCGTATATTTAAACAGATATGTAAATATGCTAACAAAGAGACAGCGTTTAAGAAAGAGGAGTAAGATAAAAGCGATTAAAATTATGAGTGGGATATTTTGCCGGCAGATTATTCATCCACATAACATAAATCTCTGTAAAAGATGTGTTCATTAAGTGAAGGACACAGAGTACAGTATCCTATATTGTTCGCCAACCATTACGCACCAGTAGATCATTGAGTGCTTCATCAGACAAATAGATAAGGTGCAGCAACATCCTCCTTCTCCTCCTCTTACTACTACTGTAGTGTACAAGTATTCTGTTGCATTGATAAGCAAAAGAAGACGAAATACAGATAAAAATTACACATAAAATCCCATTATATAAGGGATGACGAGTGTAATGTTTACTATATGGAACAAATCTATTTTGCAATCCTTTCTAAGTGCTTTCAGCATAATAGAAATTATCCGGCTTCACTCTGAAAGATAATTAAACAGAAGCCGTGTAGCATCACAAGTAATTTTTTTAATGGCAATGTAAAAATACATATCTTTGTCATCTGTCTTATATCACTGCACTGAATTTAAACAGTATTCAAGTATCTTATGCTGGAGTATGCGTCGGTGGTTCAGTGGCAGAATACTCACACCGGCCAGTGCACTCCTCATCCTAGCCTAGCGGGAATTTGTCGCAAAAGATAGGGAAGGTTAAGCGCAAGGCTAGCAACTTCACCCCGTAAGATAAAAGCCATTGCTACTACAGCTTCAAAGCTCAAGCTTAAAGACCTATGTTCCACTGGGAAAGGAAAGGAATAAAATTAAAAAAAAAGAATAATGTTAGAGAAATAAGAATTTTATTATTGAGAATGTGCAGCGTTTCACTTTCGTGTCTGCCTTCTGATTATCATAAGCGATTGCACTCACTGCATAAATGTCTTTCTAATGTATGTATCAGTACCTGAATAAAACAAAACTACTAGTTCCACTTATGAATTTCAGAAAAAACTGAAAGAAGATATAATGGGTTTTTGGACTGTGAGAATGTTAGCTTTCAGGGAAAAATTAATTCGAAAAAGTGAGAAAATAAAATAAATGTGAAAAACGTAGACACTGTGGTTGTATTCAGTTTTACACCGACTTTTTATTACACATATCACTCAATGAAATGTCACTGAGTAAATGATACTGTTTCTCTATATGACTTATAAAATAACAAACAAACTAATTTGAAAAAATAAAAACAGTTTAAATCCGAAGGCGAAATTAGAGATAAAAACAACAGTGAGGGATGAGAAAGCGATATATTGACTTACTTTTCGAAAGTGAATTTACTAAGCAGTGTTTTTAGGTTGATAAACATTTCTTGAAAGTATAAAGTGTGAGTAAACCTAATAGTGAGTAAGGCTTCAGTAAACTTGAGGATATATCCTCAGAACACCTTACGAGTGGATTTCAGAGACTATTTTGTGTCTCAATCTTCACGAGACTTGATTTATCCCTATTTAGTTTCAACTAAGTTTTTATTATATATGTATTTATATATATCCATGTTACCGAAGTGTTCTTAATGTCTAGTATAAATAATTTGCATAACAAAAACTGTATACTGTAGTAAAGTAGATTGTTCTCGTTTGATTTGACACGTGACACATTATCATTAATATAGCAGTGACGACTTCAGCTCAGTTTATTTACTACACATAAATATAATTATAAATAAGAAATTCTTTTTGAAATATCAACACTTCGTAGAAAATAACGTCTCTGTGCTATATCAGATAAACCATTTTTATAGTGGAATCTTGGTATCACGAACTGGCATCAGTAGGAGAACCAGTAAAGATCGAAAATCACTGTACAATTGTTTTGTTGTGCTTTGAGACTCTTTACTAATGCCCATATATGACCGACTAGAGTTCAAAGCTGAAACCATCAGCTAACGAGCCAATGACTTAAATATTAGACTACTGATTCAAAATGCAATGGTTTTCCAATTCCAAGTTGTGTCAGTTCATACCCTAGCATCACCGTCATCCAATGTTATTGGCAACTACCTGTCCTCAGTCTTCGCAACAAGAAGTTCATCCTGTATTCAGTCATGTATGAGTGATGAATTAGTTTTGGAGTGTCAGATTGTGCAGTTTTGAGCGATTTCGAAAATTAATGACTGAAGAAGGAGTAAACAGCTACGATTTCTCACTTAAATGTATACAACTCACTTCAAAATCCTCCAGTCTAGCTTTGTTCGCATCCAGTCAGAGAAACTTGGGTTGCATCTGGTGGGACTATTACTCGGTATTACATGAAGCTGTTCAGTAGACTAGTTGAAATGATTGTCTTCTGTAAACGAGGTTTTCGATACACAACAAGCAAATGACAATTTCTGGGTGTTTTAAAATCTTTTGCAG